CAAAATAAAATGGAATATTGTCACCATTGAAAAATGCAAGGATTATTCCCTTTTTCTTTTTGCAGTGGTATAATATGAGCATTGCACACTTCAGGCCAGTGATCTCTCACTGAACTCTGTCCCCAGGCAGGCAAGGTAATTTTAATCAGCCAATACCTGTTCTGTCATAATATAGGCATGACTAGTCAGACCATGAGAAAAAGGAAAGCACAGTTCTGGTGTTATAATTGTATTAAATTTAGAAAATGGGGAAAAATTAGAAAATGGGACAGTAGATTATTGCATCTAGATAAATTTCCTGCCTTCTCATAAACATTCTGTATGTAGTCATACCCTAACAAAACCTGTTTACTACAATGACATTTGGGTATTTTTTTCTTTAAGCTTATTAGAGATGAATGAAACAACATATTCTGACCTTCATAGGAATATCAAGTGGATAAAAAACCAAACCACAAACAAAACATCAAACGTCCCTGTTAAAAATCCAAGAGCAAATGTAGCCACCGTGAATAACTCATCTTTATCTTAGAAGTCTGAGTCAGTCTCCAAGGGGGGGTTTCTTTTGCTTCCTAAATATGAAAACTGACTTCACAACCAAAGGAAGTAATAAAGGGAGAAGCTACAGCATTAAAAGTCACAATTTTCAAAATCATTTGATTTGGAGGTAGAGACAATGTTTCATGATGCACCTCCTATCCAGTCATGACTGCTTCTGTGTTCTAAAATACAGTAGCTGGAAACGTGCTGAAGTTTGGGCAGGCCTCACATCAGACTCCCAATCGCATTTGTGTCTTTCTGAATATTCTAAACATCAGCACTGTCACCATCTTCTGTGTTCCACATGTCATAATAACGTTTCAGCGCTGATTGTGGTGGATTACTCAAAAATGAAAAGTAATCACAAAAGTAATACGCTATCTCTAAATGATTGGCAATTGAAGCAATTCCCTTTGCAACTGTAAAAGCACACACAGCCGCTTGAGTACAGCGTGTCTACACATTCTCAGTGTATAAATTCTTCAATCTATACATAACTGTGCATCTGAGCAAATACTTTAAAGCATAACAGTTAAAGTGGGGATGTTTAAGCTGGAAGATGAACATCTCACTTAGGAAATTAAACATGCCTGTTTACCCAGAACCAAACTCTGGTGGAGCTCTTACAGACTGTTTGATGACTTGAAGAACTTGTCAAATGTAAATAGAGCACTGTTCTTTATGTTTACTCTTTCCTTTATTCCCACACTCCTGCTGGAGAAAACAAAGCACATGGGACCAAGAAAATTAATTCCCCAAATGCTGTCAACCAAGTTAGGAAGCAGCAATAAACAGCTTACTATAAAGCCTCCAGCTACAATAAAACAGCTGTCAATAAATGGGCACAGTTGACATGTTCTGAAACAGGACTGTTGGATACGATGATATGAGAGGAAAGGGAGGGCATTTCTTGTTCTAATATGTTAAGGCTGAATCTCCAAGAATGGAACTTAGAAGGAGAAGAACACACTGTCACATAGGAAACTGTTAGCTGGTTCCCTTTCCAGGTCTGACCCAGTAGCAATGCATCAGAATTGGTCTAGAAGAATCCCAAACCCTGTTTCAAGAGAGAATGCACTATTTCTGAGACATATGTCAATCTGAAAATCTATATTTTAAACTCTCCTATGTCAATGGAAGCTCCCCTTCTGCTTTTAGACAAAAGCACGAGGAACTTTTTTGTGAAGTGACCAGGTGAAATTTGCTGTGGACACTGCAGCAGGGAGTTTTGTTTTGATCCTTAACTGAGAAGTGATGAAGACACAATCCTGTGCCTAAAACTGCACATTCTCAGTCTGGGAAACACAGAGGATACTTGTAAAATTATTAAGTGATAGAGTTGCTATTCTGAAATTGAAATGATAGGGTTGTTACCCTGAAATTCAAAAAAAGGCTTAGTAAGATAGAGTCAATAGACGGATGGAAATTGTGATGACCTCATGCATCACTTGGAAACACTGAGGGAACTAGCAAGGAAGAATGTGTCAGACAAACTGGGGTCTCTGCCCAACAGACCAGATCAGGATGCAAAAACCAGAATGCACGTTCATATAGACAATACAAAGTAGAAGGACTTAAATTGTTAACCTTTTATTTAAGATTCTTACATGTTCCACACTTCAGTTAGCACCATAAAGAAAAGGGAGTCCTGTGAAAGGCAATCGTGCCTACTTTACTAAAAAAAAAATCTTCGCATACTATGTATTAGTCTAAAAATTTGCTTGATAGAATTTGTAGTAATAAAATTCATATTTTCAAAGTCATAAACCGTGGAACTCTAGTTTGTATAAAGGTTACTAGTTGAAACAGAGGAGTTATAAAGAAACAAAAACACCTATTGGTTCTAGATGATCAAAACATCTTAGAGAGCTATTATAGAGTTCAGCCAACACAATTTTGAGAAGCTATATATAATTTCTGTTTTTCATCATAGGAAATAGCCCTTCCCCCTTAACATCGTATCTATGCCTTGGTCTGCTGCCATTCCCTACCTCCTTACTTCCACGATTTATTTCTCAAGTATGATTATTACGTTTTTATTTTTTTATTTTGAAAGCAGCTAAAACATATCAGCATTATTACTTTAATTGCTCTTTATTGTGGAAGATTTTGCACTAGTTTTCAACATCAGAATGTGTACAAGAAAGCTCCAAAATACCTCATGGCTAAAAGGTGTGTCTGGAATATACTGTCATTTCAGTTAGGGAGTTGCTCAGCGTCCTGAGAGCAAGTTCATGGCATGTAAACAAATGTTTTCTTATGACAAATGAAGTTTCATCAGATATTTTCAAAGCTTTGTTGAAACACATCTAACTGGCATTTATGCCCTGGTATTGTATTTAAGTTCACTAAGTTTTGGGAAACCAGAGGATGTCGGCCTACACCTAACTAGCAATGCCCATGGCACTGACAGGGAAGAAACGATAATGCTGGGAAATAGACGGGTAATTCTCCATGGGAAACCAATTTCTCATCTCATATGAAAAGTTTCAGGTCACACTAGTTTGTTTTTCTTTTTTCAGGTAATGATAAAAAACAAATCCTACCAAAAATATACAGTATAGATTTTAATAAAGTAAAAACCAAACTTTTCTTCTTTTCTTCACTGAAATAGCAACTTCTTAAGAGCATTTAGTTTTATTATTTTTCTTGCCATAATAAACTATTTAACAACTTTTAAAAACTTTGATATCTTTAGATGATTTCCAGATTTTAAAACGCCACTTTTTTTTCTCAAATGCTAATAAGATTAGCATAAAACCAAGCTGTGCTTCTGACTTCCATGTATTTCTAATGATCTAATAGACTCCTCTAGTACTTCAAAACTGATTCTGTCATTTTAGGTTATTTTACCCTGTGCATTTCAGCTTTAAGCATATGTGAGTCTATAATGCTTTATGTATTTAATATTTCAAATGAAGATTTTATTTTCATAATCATAGGCATTATACTTAATATTCATGGAGGAAGGACCTGTGTGATTCATTGACAAAATCATTTTCATGATACCTTATTGTCCTGAAGTCTCAACGTCATTACAGAGCAGCTACTAAATCTAAAGGGGGAAACAGTTTCCATAAGATACACTACTCTACTACAACTTTAGAAAAAAATAAACAAAACAACAACAACAACAAAAACCCCTCTTGGCTTTCCAAAGACTCACCAATAACTGCCAAGACAATTATGCAAGTGAATTTTGTTTCACTTCATTTTCTGAGACCTATGTTCCTAAGAGTTAGCAGGGTGGTGGATGGGCCACCAGCAGAGGTGGACCCCTAACACCAGACAGAGCTAGACTTCCAAATTCCTAGAGAGCTGACATGCTGAGGGGAACTCACTAAAGAGCAAGCAAATGAACTGAAATGCTAGTTGCTACAGAGGAACAATCATTAAATAAAAGGTATCTTTGGCTGTACTACCAGCTTGATCCTTCCCTCCCCCCTTTCTCCTCGCTCCTGCAGGATTGGCACCTGGCCAGCACAAGGGACATGATCCCCTAGTGCCATCTACAGGCTATTATCGACATTCAAATTTCGTGGCAACAGACAAGCACCAAAGAAATAAATTAGACAGCACTGCATTTAAATCTTTATTAACAAGGAATTATTAGACCTAAGGAAAACTAATTCTGGATTTGGTTGAAATATGAGTCTCTCAGCCTCTTAATCCCTCTTCATATGGCATATTTCACAGTTTAAAATGAGTTATGACAGATCACTTATGCATTACCAAGATGAAGAAGTATTTACAATGGATTCTTTCTTTTCCTCTATAAATTAGTATTATTAGAGCATTCCTTTTTTTTCATCTTCATATTTGGCCTTTACGGACACTGAAAATCTTTCTAAGAAAGACCCAGTTTTCTATATTACAATAAAATAACTTGAAATCAAAGATTATACTTCCTATATGGCTTAGATGCAATCACTCAACAGTCATGTGCTTCACAGCTGATGTACATTTAATATCCTACTTTTTTTCAAGAGTCTAAAAAAACATTAACCCCTTTAGCAACCACAGCTCCAGCGTAATTGGTGTCAGACCTTCAAACGTCACTTAAACTTGATATTTGAAGGTGACTTTTTAGATCAAAAGGTAATGTGGAAAATCTTGAAGCAGGCAATTTGGAAACCCCAGGAGCAGAATTGGGCAAATCAGGATGGGTTTTCTTCTTGAGCAAACATTATCTTGGGACACTTTGGAATAATTTTCTCTTTTCATCTTTTGCCATTTGAAGGAAACTGGGAGGTTAAATAATTCTCAGAACTCAGAAATTTCAAAGCTGTTCTAAAAATTCTTGACTGAGCCCCAGAGGAATAGAAAAGGGGTCAAGTTTTTTTTTCCTCCTTATAACTTAGCTAAAGTTAGACCAAAACAAAAGAGACACTGGCACATTAATACTGGTTGACTGGGCACTTGTATGCAGTACTTATAGACCAGTAAAAGTGCTCGTTTACCTGTCTGGTGTGTAAGGGGCCCTTTGTCTTGAAGCCTCCTTGGGAGCTGCACTCTGAGGCACTGAAGTGATCTGAACTAGTGGAGGAGCGTTTGGAAAGGGTGTCACAGCCCCCAACAAAGGTGTTGTCCAAAGGGAGCTCCTGAATGACATGGTGCTTTTTCACAGATACTGGAGTGTCTGGTTTGAGATGAAAAGCAGGCTGTGGGGAGGCAGATTTGTAGTGCTTGGCCAGGTCAGGACTGTTAGGCTTGAAGGTGGTCGGAGGTGCGGGGCCCCAGTCAAATCTTCCTATACTTTGTTCCTCCAGCTCAGCAGGCAGGCTGATGGTCCCATTGATAGGTTCATGAACTGCATCATCGGGTTTGGACTCTTCGATAGTAACAAAGTTCAAAAGAGAACTCTTGGGGGACTTTCTTTTCTTGCGTTTCTTTTTCTTGTTTTGCTTATTCTCTTGGTTTGGGGACATCCACTCAGCACCTTGCTTGCTCCTCTGAGCTGCTTTGAACCTCGACGCATGGCGACAGCGCACCAGAACAGTGACAAAGATGACAACGATGACCACCATGGCCCCTGCGACGATGGCAATCATGATGGTGAGATAGTCCTCGTTTTGGTAGGGTTGGCTACTATCTCCGATGTTCCTGTCCAGTGGGGTCTCCATAGTCCTGCGGATCAAGTCGTAGATGTACGAGGCATTTCCAGCAGTATCGTTTACATAAAGAAATACGAGCACGAGAGTGTGCAAAGCCTTAGGGTACCCCAGGTCACTTATGTTGACCACCAGGCGGTGCAGGCCCACATCAGTAGGCGCTGGCTTCTCTTCTAGAGTGATATTGCCCGTTACTGGATCAATCCGAAACAGTCCTTTATTGTTCCCGCTCACTATGGTGTACTTAAGTTCTGCATTCATGCCAGTATCAATATCCACGGCAAAAACTTCGGCCACCACGGAACCAGGAATGGCTGAGAGGGGCACCAACTTAAATGAGGTGTTGGACGGTGGAGAAATGACAACTGGACTGTTGTCATTGACATCCATGACATTGATGGTTACTTTCGCTGTAGAGGACCGAGGTGGCTGTCCTCCATCAGTGGCTTTGACATCAAACGTGTAGGAACTCTGCTGCTCTCGGTCAAAGGAGACATTTGACTTTATGACTCCCGAATAGGGATCCAACACGAAATTTTCATTGTCATTTAGAATGGAAAGAGTCACAGCTTTATTCTCTCCGGCGTCTTCATCTGTCACTGTGATTACTCCCACAGTACTATACTTTGGCAGATTCTCCGACACAAAAAACTGAAAATGATTATGAGTAAACTTGGGGCTATTATCATTCTCATCCAGAACAGTAACTATCACTGCTGCTTGGCTTTGCAGGGGAGGGGTCCCATTGTCCCTGGCAGTGACTGTAAAAATGAATCGCTCTTGTTCCTCCCTGTTAAATACTCTGGAGGCTGTCAAAACTCCTGTCTTTCTGTCCAGATCAAAGAAGGAGGCATTCGGTCCAAGCTGATAAACAATGTCTGCATTTTTCCCACTGTCTTCGTCTGTAGCACTAATAGTTGTTAAGTATAACCCACGTCGGTTGTTTTCAGAGACTGACAGCTCAATTACAGGCTGGTTGAAAATCGGTGGGTTGTCATTTTCATCCTCCAGCTTAACCCTTACCAGGGCAGTCTGATTCAAACTGGGCTTCCCAGAATCAGAGGCAACGATTTTAAAGCTGAATTCTTTGGTGCCCTCATAGTCCAGCAGAGAAGAAGTCTCTAGCAGATACTGGTTGTCATACACTGCCTTCAGATGAAACGGGACCTCTCTTTCAATGAAACAGATCACTTTGCCATTCACGTCTGTGTCCTTGTCTGAAACTGTAATCAGGGCAATCTTTGTATTGACTGGGTCTTTCTCAGACAGATACACCGTGCCATTGATGGGACTTATAATGTACCTGAGGTCTATGTTCGGAGGGTTATCATTTACATCGGTGACATTGATGGTCACTGTGGCTCTGGCAGGAGTGGAACTGCCGTCACTAGCCAACACCGTCACTTTGTGAATGGCTGTCTCTTCCCTGTCTAAAGACCTCTGAACTGTAATCAGCCCAGTTGTGTTATTTAAAGCAAAGAGTCTTTTGGTTGCAGGGGCGACCTGGGCACCAAAAATGTACCGGATTTCAGCATTGCTGCCCACATCTGCATCAGTTGCATGGAGCTGAATCACAGAGGTCCCCACAGGAGCGTTCTCGGGAATATGCACCTCTACTTGACCCTCTTTAAACACTGGCCTGTTGTCATTCACATCACTTACAGTGACCTGCAGAATGGCTGTGCTGGATTTCTGTGGAGTACCACCATCCTCCACTTTGATTTTCATCACATAGGTATCTTTTTGTTCTCTGTCCAAGTTCTGCTGAACAATCAATTGCGGCCACTTCTCTCCCTCTGGAGTTTCCACGATATCCAGGCCAAAAACACTCTGCCCATTTAGCAATTCATAATGCTGCACCCCATTGAAGCCTGTGTCGGGGTCTGTGGCTGATGGGATTGGAAAGCGGCTGTTGATCAAAGTGTTTTCTGGAATGGAAATATTGATGACAGGAGACGGAAACATGGGGGCATTATCATTGGTATCCTTGACAATGATCTTGATTTTGATCAGCCTGAAAAAGTCATTGGGGAGGATCACCACCTCAAGTTCAAAGAAACACTCATTCTCCTCCGCATAAGAAGCTCCAGCGCAGAGTTTCTCTCTGTCTATTCTATTGGAGGTTGTGAAAATCTCCCCAGTGCTGCTGGATACTTTCACCAGAGGGGCATCCCCAGCTTTAGAAACCAGTCTGTAGACAAGGCTGGCACTGGTCCCTGTGGCAGCATTGATGTGAGAAATGTTCAAGTCCTTTGGTATATTTCCTATGGGCACATTTTCAGGCAACTCCTCTCTAATAGTGTAAATAAGTTCTTGAGCTATAGCCGAATCCAGCCTTAAACAGGCAATCAGAGCAGCCAACAGATAAAAATCCCTCAGGTCCATGATAATATATTTCTTGCCTTTCCTTGGATTTTAGAGTTTAAAGGTTTCCACTGAGGGATGATGCAGGGGTAGCAAGAGGACGTGTGCATGGACTGGAGGAGGCATTACATCTCATCTCTTATTTGGAGACAGTCACTGTCAACACAATTGTACAGACAATATTATTCTTCAGTAAATGAAAACACAGTCACAAAACACTGAAGCACATTCTCGCTGCATATTAGTAAACATGGCAGTTTGCTCTGCCACACTTTGCAACTTAACTCCATGGCCAAAAGCACCGACAATCCCTTGCTTGTTGCATTTGCCCAGAGAAAATGAAATTCATCTACTTTTGAAATTAAGGACAGCAGCTATTTTTACCTGGATTTCCCCCGCGCTGTTTTTTTTATTTTCTTTTTCTTTTTTCAATACACTGTTTAATTCAAAGCATGAATTCTTGTTCTGCTCCTCCCCTCCCCCAGCTTTACCCATCTCCTGGTCTCTAGCCCACCTCCCCCAGCTGTCTGAGGTGGAAGTGAAAAACCCCAAGTATTTAGCTCTGATTGCTGCCAACTGCTTTGTCACATGTTAGAGATGATGTGTTTTCTTCTCTGTCACACTGACTCATCTCTCCCTCTCAAAAGACTGCTTTTTCTTCCTCCCAGTTCTTCAACTGTCTTCCAATCCATCCTTCCTGGGAAATGAGCATCCGGACATGCTGCTGCAGCGGCAGAAGCAGTAGTCGCCGGCCACTACGTATTCTTATTGCCTCAAAGCACGAAACCAAGACTTCACATTTCTTACTCAGAGCCTGCCTTCCTTTCTCCATGAATCCACATTGCCCCCACCGAGAGAAATAAACACACTAAAACTTTTGAAAAAACGTATGATAATCGACAATTGCTTGCCATAGAGGTGAACCAGTGTGCCGGGATGGAAGTGAAACACAGCCAACATTCCTATGTAACAGCACAATATTTTTCTACTGAGCATACGAGAGAAAATAAAATGCAGTTTCTTAATCCCGGTGCCTCATTATAATATTAGTAACATTTGCTACACATAAATACCGCAACCCGGTAACACACGTAAAAGAACTTCCGCTCAGATGCCCCTCTAACTGCAGTTTAAATGGGTGCAAGGCTCTAGACAGCTACCCACTGGAGTAGGACTGGTCAGTTCCCAGTCTCTAATCTTATCTGCATTAGACTCACAGTAGCTGATGCCCGCGATTAGTTCCAACAGAGTGGTGCAGGTGGGGTTGCAGATACAAGCCCGTAGGTGAGCTCTGCCCCAGCCGACTACCCAATTACAAACACCCCACGTCTACACCGAGGACATAACTAAACAAGGCATTTCCAATTGTGCATGCGAAACTTTACACTTACGTTAGTTGTCTCAACCTTTCCCCTTTCCCGGTAGGCTGCAGTTAAGAAGGATTTGTTCCAACACATAGAAAGCCATGCATCTGGTAGCACCAGTTTGGGGCGAATTCAGAAGCAGCAAAACGTTTCCTCCTTGTAAAATGTGTGGCTGCGGGCTGGCAAATTAGCAACTCCCGAGAACAAATTCACAGATTTGTCGTTAGTCATTCTCGCCACATTTCCTCGCTACTGCTATTACCCACTGGGTATGGGCTCTTCTGGTATTTAACACACACCACATCCACTTGCACTTCTTCAGCTCGGGAGTATATCCCACAACAACCAGCCTACCATTTGCATCCGATGGCAGTACTGCTCAAGTCTCTAACTTCTGGTAGGAAACGCCAGAGTTGGGTGATGGTGATTTTTTTGGCTCTTGTCCCGGGGTGCCAATTGCCCGACAAATTCTTAATCCGTGAGCTCTTTCGCGCTTCGGAGACTAAGGTTCTCCCTCCTACATCGCATACTCTTCTCGTTCCCTTCTCATCTGCCCCCCTCGCCTTCTCCCTCTCCTCTCTCTCCTCTCTCTGAACTGAATTTCTTGATATAACTCTCAATAAGCCCAGAGGGAGGGCGTGACGGCCGAAGCCCCGCCTCGGGGTTCTGATTGGCTAGCATCTTGCAGTGCGGGAGGCTGCAGAGTCTGCGGGAGGGGGTGCGAAACAAGGCGCTGACTGTCTCCAGCCTCCCCCTCCCAGCGTCCCTCGGCAGCCTCGAAAACCTGGAGAACTGATCCTGGCCCCAGGAGAGATGCCTTCCAGGACGCTCACTGAGCATGCCCGGCAGAGGCCAGCACGGGTGTGGGCTGAGGGGGGGGGGGGGGGGGCTCCGGAGAGCTCTCAGGCTCCTACCGAGCTTGCAGCTGCGGAGCAGGGGGATGCGGTTGCACTCGCGCAGAACCCGGGAACCTAGATTCTCGCCGCGGGGTGACGAGAGTCATCGAGGTCGCTCTTTTTTTGATGCATTTCTAAGTGGAGGGGCCAAAATGAAGAGATGGCTGAGACCCGAAGCCACCCCTCAGTGAGGAATTCTGTCCAGCAAATTCTGGAGCGTTTTTTAAACCATTAAACGGACTCTGTGCCCGGTGCTGCAAATTGAGGCATTTGCTGGCAGGGACATCTGAAGGAAGGGCGAAGAGGGCGGAGAGCTAAAGATAGGGCAGTAGTTATTTGAGTCTCGGTGGAGAATCGAAAGAAAATTAATCTGGGCATTTACTGCGCGCCGGGTCACTGAAACAGTCTGGGGGAAATGAACGCTGCATCTGGGGTCCTGGGGCAGAGCCGAGGCCAGAGCGTGGTGCAATAAGTCTCCTTTCCCAGGAGCGGGTAGAGCTGCAGCGCCCGATCGTGGCCGCCTCTGCCCTTCTGCTTTTGCCTCAGAGGGAACCCTGAGAACCTAGCTCGCCAGAATGGAGGCTACAACCGAGCCTGCTCCCAGCCCACCTAACTGCAAACTTTGCTTCCGATGGGCTGGAAGGAATCCCCAACAGCTGTTAGCCAAGCTGCAAAAGCTCCTTGTCCCTCTGCACTTCCTGCTGGATACATTTCCCTGCCAGGCACGTCTCTGACGCCAGCTTTTTTTTTTTTTTTAAACATTTCCTCACAAGTTTCTTTCTCATTTTCTTACCAGGGCTGGACGGGATACTTCAGAAAGGGGCAGCCTAATTTCTGTAATATTACCCCTAAAGCCTTGTCACTGTTTTCCTCGCTCATCTTTAAAAGCCAGTTAGAAAGGTTTGTGTAATTGGCTGCACCTACGGCAGACAGGTGCCAGACTAGAGTTTGAAATAAAACCCCATCAGTTCAACCACAACATTTTTTTCCCTCTGAATGATCTCTAACTGTTACCTAAGGAAGTCTTCAAGCATGGTTAACTTTTGCTAACTTAAAGAAAGAACAAAGGGCGCTTATTTTAAACCTTGGGTAGAATGTAATAGTATTAAAGTTTTTTTTTTTTTTTTTAAATTCGGGAGTATCTTTGGCTTGTGACAGAAAATACTTTCTTTTTAAGCATGGACATTTATTTTGACATAACTAAGTGAAAAGGAAAACACGTCCCTCATCAAGCCTTCCAAACTGAGTAGTGTAGAAATAATCTCACTGGCAGCTGCCTTGTTGGACATCACGATTTCCTCCTATGAAAATTTAATCCCCGGCTTTGTGTTAACACTTTTTCCTCAGGTGTGTAATCAGAGAGAAAGTGCAGTCTCGAGAAGTTCACCATGAAACTGTCCAACCCCTTGTGTAGTGAAACATTTTTCTTATAGACAATAGGCCGATGGTGTTTGCGCACAACCAAAAAGTATCAAATTATTATTTTTGCATGATTAGAATGAACAAATTTAAGGAAAGAAGGACCCCTAAGTATCCAGATGTCAACAGACCACAATCCTCACACAATAACGCTAGCGAATTAAAGGTTGCTTTTTTTAATCGTACCTCAGTGAATGATCATTTGCCATTCAGAAAATTAAAGCTAATACATCGTTCTCATGCTCACGTTTTTTTCCGCACTGAACTATTCTGCTCCAGCCACAATAAACAACAGCACCGCCACTTTCCAGTTTATTTCACGAGCAATGCAATTATACTTTAATCATACCACAGTCATTTCAAAGTCAGGTAGTGGCAGCCCGTAGCTTAACAATAATTATTTAACCTCATTGTTAAGCAGGGATATTACTCTCAGTGAAGAGATAGCTTTCCTAGCTGGCAAAGGCCATTATATACCCCATGCTTGAAAATGAAATCTTAATATGAATCAGGATGAAGGCTAAGGAAGAGGAAACAAATCACAGCTTGAGAAGCATGACCGCAAGACTTCAATTAATAAAAACCTCAGGTCAAAGCCCCAGAAGAAGGCATGTGTAGGTTCTCTTCAAAGGAGACCAAGCAGGACAGAGAAATAGAGCTCTTGTTCAACACACACTTTGTCTTCCATTTATTTGAGATATCTAAATTTAGGGAATCCTTAAGCAAGCGATTCCTTAACCTTTTAATATTAGAGGGTACAGGCTTACTTTATACTATTTCTGCTGATAAACTCTACAATGAGGAATGCTATTTTGCTAATTGTCCTAAATGAAAATTGTACATTAAATAGCCCTTTGCTATTTAACTTGAGGCTTCTGCCTCAAGCACAACACAATTTGTTGTACAATTTCAAATACAGTAGACTGTTTTAAAATATATTTATATAAATACGAATTAGGAGAATATTGCTAATGTTTGTGAGGAAATATCTGTTGTTTTATGCTGTATTTTACTGTATAGTCATGAATTTAATTTGCTCTGTGTAAACAGTCTAGTGTATATATGTATGTGTATTTCCAAGTACATCACTTTAACTCAATATCACTCATTATTGGTAATGCATATTTTGACAGCCAGAAAACATGTTGCTCTTATTCTGACTACCTGATCAGTACATCGAGAATTATACCATCTGGGCAACAGTGAAGAGCCACACTGTTTTCTCCCGGCTATCTAGGTCATGGGACACTTATAAGTCACCTCTGGCCAGTTAACTGGAGACTGAAATGCCTTCAGATCTGCTCAGAAACAGATGTGGAGTTAATGCAATTGTTTCACATTCCACGAGTCTAGCATCATGCGATTTATATATTAAACAATAATTTCCACGCAATGACATATAATAACCTGAATTATTAAGCAGTTCAGTTTAATTGGATTCCTGTGTATTATTTTCTAGTTATCACGCAGCATTTTTTAAAATTACATTTCACACAAAGATTATAAAGGCTTTTCCTGCCAGTTACATTTCATATAAAAGACCCAGGCTGTGATGTTAAGAATTATCAAAGGTCCTCCTCCAGGATTTCAAGACTTTTGTAAGAAGGTTTCTATGTTCCACTCAAAGTTAAAAATAAAATAAAGCTGTGGCACTGTCTCTAACAGACAGTGCCTTAATCACAGGGCCCTGACGTCAGAGCAGTTCACAGTACCAGTTTCACAGAAGGACTAGGTTGCTGCACTGCGCTGCTCGGGAGCAATGTGGTAAAGATGCTAAGGGCGACATGTATTAGCACTCCTGAGAAAATGACAATGCAAGATTTTAGCACCACACGAAGAAATTAGCACCTTCCCAAGGCTGTGCAAACTGGGGAAGTGCAGGAATCCTGCATGATTCCTCTGCTTCCTTAGTCATCAGCTCATCCTGTTCCTTCTGCTTTTCTTTTCTTTCTTTTTTTTTTTCATTTCTTCTCTCTTTTTCTAAAGGCGACCTAATGTAGGTTATCAAACCGTCATGGAGCCATGGTGACATCTTTCATTCTCTTTGAATGACTAATCTAAATTTAAAATACTTTCCTATGTTTTCATGACTGACAGAGACTGTAGGAATCAGTCTAGTGTCTTGAACATTGTTACGGTGTAAATCAACACTTTCCAGAACCACTATTCTATCATAAGAACTGCATGAACTAAAATATATATATTTATATATTTATATATATATATATTATATATATATTAAACTCTCAAATTTCCTCATGGCTTATAGAGGATTTTAATTATATGTAGACAATTCTTCCATAATCCATGTTTTCATTAGTATGGCTGAAGTAGCTAGTGGCTATGTAGGAGGGTATAGATTTTTTTTAAAATGATAAGGTTATGTAATGTTTCAAATTAAAAATTTCATAAAAGTTGTGAAACTGTAAGCAAAACATAGAGAGCTTTTCTTGATTCTGTATGAGGAAGTGAGGTTAAAATTTGTCAGGTTAAACCATTGAATACTATTTATTAGGTCACCTGTTCACAAATGATGAATGAGCAGTGATGTGAATGAAAATGCATGTTGCTTGGAAGAAACTTTACTGATACATAAAACATAAAAAGAGAGATATCAGTACAATTTTAAGAATAGCTGCATTTGCCAAAATCAAATTAGGAAAAATAATCTATAAGGTCTTTCTTAAAAACATAGTACTATGATTTTAACTTTCTTTATATTTTCATTAATAAGCACATATTGTTGAAAATAAAGCTTCACTTTATCTGGGTCAAATATCTTGGGTGACTTTACTGTCCGTCTCCATGATGTCTTTTAGCATTTTCAGACTTTATTTTAAAAACTATACTCACGTGGCTTCCCTTTAGAGGCCCAGTTTGTTACATAAGAGCTCATAAATAGACTTACTCATGTAGAGCAAAGCAGATAAGCCTAGTTTTCCTCTTATAGTTTCTTAGAACCAAATTTCAAACCGGGTTCTCTTCTAATTTCATCCAGGTGATCCAGGGGAGCCTTGTATTTTGTTGACTGTTGCAGTCTTGGTCCATCTCCACATCACAGTGCAGCAGCATCCTAGAGAAAAATCGAGACCTGCGTTCCTGCCTTCAGCAGACACTGCTACATTTTTGTCTGGTATTTGAGTCAGTATCACTCTGCTTATGTAAAACTATACTTCTTCATGTAGTTTTATGCCCTTAAATATTTTAAGGGTTCAGACACTGCAAATCCTGCCTATGATCCCAGCCTCTGGAGTCTGAGGC